GTCCATCCAGACCATAAAAATGTAACGAGCCTGTAAACGTTCGCTTATATTGCCCTGCCATTGTATGCGTCGGCGCGAGCCTGGGATTGAGGCAGGTCCCGAGCACGCTACACATTTGATGATGTTGCGCCTGCTACGTCAGACCACGAGAGATTGAACGAGAGAGAGAGAGAGAGAGAGAGAGAGTCACGGGAACCAATGACTCTTCTTACGCGGCCATTATTGGGCTGATTTTGTATCTCCGCCTGTTTCTTATTTTTTAAACGTTGACGTTTACACGCTTTATTCGTCCTTCCACTCATTGCGATAACGCAGCCTCCGAATGTCTCGGGCTACAAAGACAAATTTTCACAAGCTAGAACTTGAGAGTCAATGTTGCGGAGGACATTGTGGGATCGAAACAGGTGGGTTAAGAGGATGCCGGACCATGCAGATATTGCAATGGCTGGTGGCTGCACGGTCGGCCTTGTAATAAATGGCAATAATCGCGATAATAATATTCGGGGACAGATGGAATGGAATAAAGTGCGTATCGGTTGCACGAGGCCACCGTCGTCGATGTCGGCCAACGTAAATGGCCGGGTGTAGCGAAGCTGCAAATGTTACATTCGTTCGGCATGTTGGCGAGGAACCTCGTAAAAAGCAAGAAGAGCCGGGGCGTTCCTCCCGTGAAAATTCGGGGCTCTCGACGTAGTGGGGAGGGTGGACCGATGCGTTGACAGAGACGTCCTTTTTAAATGTCATAAAAGCCGGCGGTGGCGAATTCGCGCCTCCATGAATGAACGGACACGAGCGAGGCCTACGAACGCGTTAAAGTCGTGACTCTCGACTTTATGACCTCTCTTGAGTGAGCCGCTACTCCACACGACGACGAGGATGACGACGACGGCGACGACGACGGCGACGACGACAGCGAAGAAAACGACCAAGGCGATGGTCCAGCCGATGTGTCGATCCTCGATTATAGGCGAGCACGGACCTTCGTGCGCGTTTGCGTGTGTGTGTGCGCGCGCGCGCGCGGGCAGAGGGTCGCGTGGCGTAAGATCTAGTCGCTCATCCTGTCTCTAGCTCCTTTCGATCCTCGTAGTAGTCCTTGTCGTTGGTCTTGCTCGTCACCGCCACCGAGACCGCCATCGCCGTCATAAGCGTTGTCGCAGCGACGACCTTGACACTGATTCACGGCCGTAATATACACGTATGGGATAGGTACAGCGCACGGAGGCACATGATTCATGTGCAAAGTGCGGCTCTACGGCGACTCGGCCTCTCTCGCTCCGGGGCCGAGGAGGCCGTCCAGGTGAGTTAAAGCCATAGGGCAGGTATGCCGCGGGAGCGAGACGGGTACGGGTCCTGGGGGAAAGAGGTAATGGAACTCTTTGCGGCTTGTCGGAGAGGCCGGTCGCGCGAGCCGTTCCTCGTTTTACTAACACTTAAAAGTTTACTGGCGCTCATAAAACGCGGACGTTTAGCTTTATTTGGCCGCGCGCGACGCCCCGACACTCGGAGCGAGAGAGCGATGACTTAGGGACGACGCATACGGAGCGCGAGCACGTGTGTCGTCTTTCGCAGGAGGAGCCGCGTTTTACGATGTTTTCGTAGGAATCGCACGCGTCGGACGTGGACACGCAGCCGGAAGTGCGGAGAAGCTGCGACTCGCTGCCCCGAGGGTCATTATACCGCTAGGCGCGTGGCCCCTACGACGATGTTTATGTACTTTTCATTTGGCGATTAGCTGCGATTTTATGTCGTAGCGCTCTATAGTGATATGTGCGAGAGATCTTGTTATCTTGATCGCTGAGTCACACGCTCGCAAAACTATGTCACTGTTATTGCATTAAGGTCGTCCTGAGTCTGGCTCGCTTTATTGTCCGGGCTCATCGGCGCCGCCGCTAATCACTCCGATGCAGACATCCTAGTCTGTCCCGTAAACGAATTGTTTCTCCTTTCTCGACCGTCCCTTATAATTCCTGTCCTTTGGGGTGGGGGGAGGGGGTGGGGGAGGCAGGGAGACACCGCGTGTATTTATTCGATGGTTTATGGATCGGTTATGAGTGCTCGTAGACGGGTGCTGTGTATGGCCCAACGATTTTCCGCTGGAAAAGTTTTGTAGCGTCGGAAGGATCGATTCTTGCATACGGCACTATGCCCCGTGACGAATGGCGATAAGCTTTGATCGGCCGCGGTAAGAAAAAGAAGTTTCTTAAACTAATTGCCGAGTTAATTTATCAGCTTGTCAACCTTCTTCTCTTATCTTATATTGACGATTTTTCATTCATAAAAATTAAGACACAAATCGTCTTCCTTCTTCCTTCCATTCTTTCTATCTTTTCTCTTATCATTTTGTCCTTTAGATGTGTCGATTGACGCCGAAATAGTAAATAGGAAAGAAAAAAATTAAAGAAATGAAATACATCGATTTACACGTTGGTTGAAAAAAGGATTCTTTTTTTTTCTAATGAAAATTCGCGTGCATAGGTGAAAATATAATTTGTAAATTTTTTTCATTAAAGTACAAATTTGCATAGATCTATTGGAGTCGATCGATTTAATAATTGCCGATGTTTGACATATCAATCAATTATCAGATTCAAAAAGAAATCGGCTCCTAGCATTAAAAAAAGTTCTTGTGACAATGATGGCGATAAAAAAAAAGTTTTTAAAACACTTGACCTTTTCGTTTGTAATATAAAGATGATGATGATGATGTGTGTGTGTGTGTGTGTGTGTGTGTGTGTGTGTGTGTGTGTGTCTGTTGTTCGTTCGTTAATAAAGAAAATTTTACTTTCGGATACTGGAATTACTATAATGGATTTTTCATTACATTAAAGGATGAATTGACAAACATTTTGAATTATCCTTTTTAAGCTTTTTATTTCAATTTAAAAGAAATGTCATCCATATAAAACAAAAGAACAAAAAAAGATTACCAAATCCTACATTGGATAGTAATAATATTTAAAAATTTCGTCCTCCAGTCTCTAACTAAACGTGTACGCATATATATATATATATATATATATAATGTATTGATATGTAAAATGGACCTATTAATGATTAGACAATTCTGTCATTGACTTTGAAGCTTGCAGACCGAGATAATTCCTCTGCCTTTGAATTATCAACGCAGTAAAGCCATTCATATTTGATTCTCTAAGCACAACGGTATTATTTGTACTTGAAACAATGACTAATGATATTCTTTATTGCCTATTTGCTCATTCGTTAATGTAGCGAGCGAGATAAATAAGCTCGTCAATTATTACTGTATGAAATAACAACAACAACAACAACAACAACACAGACGCAAAAAGAAAAAATACCGGGAGAGGGGCTTTCGGCATCACTCCTTTGCGTTTGTATACAAAAGATTATTATTGTTGTCTGGCAAAGATATAATACCTTTCACAAAGATCGTTAAGCGACTTGTTAGCTTTGCGTAATCGTTGCCGCGTGTGTCGCCAGCCAGCATTGGCTAATTCAACGACCAAAACCCGCTTTCATTTCATTCATACGTCGTCTATCTGCATTTGCGCGCCCCGTATCACGGAAAAATGCGCGCAATGAAGATTAACGGCCGAGGCAATTATTTTGCTTGTGTCGATGCTTTATGAACGAACGGCACTTCGCCTGCGGAAGAACAGCAGAGGCGAGAATCTCCGTAGCCACCCACGCGCATACGTTAGATGGCGCGAGTTCCTACACTCCCAAATCAAAGGGGCAATTTTATTTATTCTAACGATTGGGTTTGCAAAAAGTGTGGAAAATCATTAGTTCCATTCCATCCTCGTTATATTCATGAACTAAGTAATAAACAAAATAAACAGTTGATGTAAACTGCATCCGAATTGGATACGAGATGGATGAATAATCTTTAAAGGCAATTTCTATCCTTTTAATGACTTGTTAATGGCTATCGACAATTATATCGTCAAAACGGCAAATGCTGTATATTTTATTTTTTAAGAAACTACTCGTATGGGATTAAGAAATTTGTACTTGTTGGAAGATAAATTATTCAATGGGCCTTACGCTTAATCAACATTCTTAATCGGTATAAAATCATTATACAATTAGAGAATGTAAATTCTCGAAAATCTTTATAACTATTAGATAAAGGCGATTACTTTTAATTAGCCCTTGTTTCTAGTTGCCTTTCATAAAACTTGTATTCGATGAATTGACGCCGTGTTATTGTAATGCAACTCGATAGTCGATATAAAGAATGAGGGACATCAAATTGTCTTCGCAAATAATATGTAATACAATTTAAAATCTGTACTACTTCGTATGGCTGCAGTGAGATTCCTTTAAATTGGTTGGCCAGTCCAATCTAAATTTAAATCAGGCTATGGTAGTCGAACGCTCTGTATAACGTAGCAAAATTTATGGGAGGTCATCCCGCCTGAAGAGATTGGCTTTGTACATGACCCTCTGGCTGCGTGTGTGCGTACGCGCGTGTGTCGTTCCTTTACACAATATTGTCCCGCCATACTCGTAAAGATCTCACTTATTCGGCTGGAATTGTGAATTTTAAACGTAAATTTACAAAGTCATGACATCTACTGGTAATACAATGGCCGGCATAAACTTGGTAAAAACATTTTCATTTCGATATGTAAAAAGTGAAAATAAAAAACAATGTTCAAGAGTATTCGCAAAGGCGCTCAAAATGTTTAACTATAGCAGAAAGATTTTCATAATTTACATCGCTTTTCAATCGTATAGCGCGGTTTTTATATATTCTAAACCCCCCCCCCCCCCCCCCCCCCCCCCCCCCCCCCCCCCCCCCCCCAGCGCCCCTTTT